TCTGAGATAGTCACTGTTTTTTACACACCAGAATACTGTGTTCTATTCAAAAATATAAATATTGCAAGTATTTTAAGTTAAATCTTCATTAATAATGTTTTCTACACAGCTTTCTTAAGTCTAAATGATCATCAAAATAATAAATTAAGCCCTAGTTTTTAGTTAAAAAAAAAAAGACAACTATACACATAAACCTCAACAGATGGAATACACAGAAATCAAATTGACTATATCTGTGGAAGGAGAAGGTGGAAAAGTTCCAGCTCATGAGCCAAAACAAGACCAGGAGCAGACCATCGATTGCTCATATGAAAGTACAGGCTAAAGCAAATTTAAACAAGACCACGAGAGTCAAAACATGACCTTGAACATATCCTACCCGAATTTAGAGATCATCTTAAGAACAGATTTGATATATTAGACACCAATGACCAAAAACCAGAATATTTGTGGGATGGCATCAAGAATATCATACAGGAAGAAAGCAAAAGAGGTCATTAAAAAGATAAGGAAGAATGAAAAGACCAAAATGGATGTCAGATGAGGTTCTGAAACTTGCTCTTCAATGTAGAGATGCTAAAGCAAATGGAAGAAATGGGGAGGTAAAAGAGCTGAACAGAAAATTCCAAGGAGTAGCTTAAGAAAACAAACTCAAATGTTATAATGAAACGTGCAAAGACCCGGAGTTAGATAAAGGGAAGAATACGCTCAGCAGTTCTCAAGCTGAAAAACTGAAGAAATAATTCAAGCTTCAACTTGCAATATTGAAGGATTTTAGGGGCAAAATATCAAATGATACAGAAAGCATCAACAGAAGATGGAAGGAATACACAGAGTCAATGGGCCAAAAAGAAATGGTCAATGTTCAATCATTTCAAGAGGCAGCATATGAACAAAAGTCCATGATACTGAAAGAAGTCCAAGAGAACACCCAAAGTTGCAGATAGAACCCATTTGACCTAGCCTCAATGGCTTGATAATCAGAACTCGACTAGAGGAAGATTTAAAAAAAAAAGAACAAAACAATTTTTTATAAAGAAAAAGAGGGCAAATTGCTACAATTTGATGAACTTGACCTATATTCATGGAGGCAGTAACTCTAAATACCAACAGAGAGAGAAGGAGTCTTCACATCAAGTATCAATGCTATCCCCTCTGCACACAGGATAGATAGGGATGGCCAACTTAGACATTGGCTACCTAAAATGAGGGGGCGATAAAGGCATGAGGTGACTGGCTAACAAGGTTTCAAGAGGAAGTTTAGTTTAATAGTGTGTGGGGAAAAAGAGAGTCCCCACTGAATAGTTTAAATCTTGTCTAAATGGGTCTGGTTAAGATATGGTGATAGGATTCTTATGATTCAATAATGAGAAACTGTTATCATGACTAATTGTGACTGTCACAACTGTAAAGGCAGAAGTTTTGCAACAAAAACAGGGGAGTAGTTAATCTTACAGTTCAGAAACAAAGGACCCTAGGACCACCAAGGGAGAGGAGCACAAGCGGAATGCAAGACCTTATCCAGAGAAGCAGTGATACCAGAGATAGAGGCAGAGATGGGGACATGGAGACATGGAGCAGCTGAGGACTCTAGATTCAAGGGAAAAGAGGGACTAAGAGACTGCAGCAAGGACTTGCAGAACATGCCTTTTGGTGTAAATTATTATAAATGCCTGAGTGTATTTAAAAAAAAAAAGAGAGCGAGAGCTAAAGTGAATAGAGAGAAATTCTGTTAACTGATGGTCCCTGGAGGGGATTATAATCATTGTAATGAAACAAGTTGTATGATCTGTTGAATATAAAACTGATGATCTGCCCTGTAAACTTTCACTCAATCCACTGCCCTGTAAACTTTCACTCAATCCACAATAAAAACCTTAAAAATAAAAAACAAAAGAAGTCCAAGGTGCAATGGAGGCATTGGCAAAGAACAAGGCACCAGGAATTGATAGAATACAAACTGAAATCTTTCAACAAACTGACGTAGCACTGGAGGCACATTTATGCCAAGAAATTTGGAAGACAGCTACCTAGGTGCTGATTAGAAACGATCCGTATTCATGCCCATTCCAAAGAGAGAATGACCCAACAGAATGTGGATACCAATGGACAATAACATTAACATGACAGGCAAGTAAAATTTTGATAAAGATAATTCAAAAACAGCTACAACAGTACACTGACAAGGAACTGTCAGAGAATCAAGTCGGATTCAAATAAGGAAGTGGAACAAGTGATATCTCTGCCAATGTCAGATGGTTCTTGGTTGAAAGCAGAGAATAGGAGAAAGATGTTTTCCTATGCTTTCCACTCTGTGGATCATGACAAACTATGGACAACACTGGAGACAATGCATATTCCGGAACACATAACTGTGCTCATGAAGAACCTGTACACAGACCAAGAGGCAATTGTTCAAATAGTACAAGGGAATACTGAATGGTTTAAAATTAGGAAAGGTATGCACCAAGGTTGTATTCTTTCACCATACTTATTCAATCTGTACGCTGAGCAAATAATCCAAGTTAGATACAAAGCACATGGCATCAGAATTGGAGGAAGATGTATTAACAACCTGTGATATGCAGATAATACAACCTCCCTTGCTGAAAGTGAAGACTTAAATTGCTTACTGATAAAGAACGAAGACCACAGCCTTCAGTATGGGTTACATCTCAATGTAAAGAAAACAAAAATCCTCATCACTGACCAATAAATAACATCAAGATTAATGAAGTAAAGATTGAAGTTGTCAAAAACTTCATTTTGCTTGGACTAACCATCAACACTCATGGAAGCAGCAGTCAAGAAATCAAACAACCTAGGAGACATCAAGGTAAGCAGTCGGGTCCCCTCAGGGTAAACTCCCTTCTAAGACTAAGACTCAAGGGGACTACACGAGCAGACATGCACTCTGACTGGTGACCACGTTGGTCACTGATAAGGAGAAGTAAGGGAAAAACAGCAATGAAGCTGCGAGCTAAGTCCAATCACGTTCAATAGACTCCTGTGAACCCACGTGGAGACCTGGTTGGCCAGCAGTATGGCAAGACCTGAGGACTCTTGGGCCCAGAGTCAGTGACATAGCCACAAAGGACTAGAGTAGAGAATGAAGCATCCAGCTGATCAGAAGAAAGGGCATATGCACAAGAACACCCACACTTGCAGATAATACCCACTTGACCTGGCTGCAATGGCTGGATGATCAGAGCTCAACTAGAAGAAGAAAGAAGAGGAAAAAAGGAGTGATCTGAAACAATTTGATGAACTTGACCTACACCTATGGATGCAGTAGCTCAAAAGAGGGAACAAATACTTACAGCAAGGATCATTCCCACCCCCTCACTACACAAGGTAGACAGGAATGGCCAACTTGGACATTGGCTAACCAAAATGGGGGTGCTACAAAGGCAAGAAGTGACTGGTTTACAAGCTTTCAAGAGGTAGCCTAGATCCAGAGGGTGCGGAGGAAGGTAGAATCTCCACTGAGTGGTATACAATCTGTCTGTGGCGGACTGATGTTAGGAGATGGGGATAGCACTCATGTGGTACAATAATGAATAATTACTATCAGGACTGACTGTGAGGGTTGGAAATGTAAAGGCAGACGTTCTATAGCAAAAGGAGGGGAGTGGTTGATTTTGCAGTCCAGGAGCAGAGAGAGGGCCCTGGGACCATCAAGGGAAAAGAGCGGAGTGCAGGACCATACCCAGAGAAACAGTGACGCCAGAGATGGAGGCAGAGATGATGACAAGGAGAGATGAAGCAGCTGAGAACTCTAGACCCAGAGAGGGAGAGGGGATCTGTGCTGACGACCAGGGGGCAGGCTTGCGGACTGTACCCTTTGGTTGGTTGATGATGCATGGATGCGACTGTAACCATGGCAATGTAACAATATACAATAGGATGAATGTAAAGCTAATGTTCTCCCACATAAACTATCACATAATTCACAATAAAACGTTTTATTAAAAAAAAAACAAATAACATATTGCATTAGGCAAATCTGCTGCACAAGACCTCTTTAAAGTGTTCAAGAGCAAAGATGTCAGTTTGAGGACTAAGGTATGCTTGATCCATGGTATTTTCAATAGTCTCATATGCATGTGAAAGTTGGGTAATGAATAAGGAAGACCACAGAAGAACTGATGGATTTGAATTATGGTTTTGGAGGAGAATTCTAAAAGTACCATGGACTACCAAAAGAACAAACAAATTTGTGTTGGAAAAAGTGCAGCCAGAATGCTCCTTAAAAGCCAGGATGGCCAGACTTCATCTCTCATACTTCAGATGTATTATCAGGAGGGACCAGTGCCTGGAGAAGGACATCATGCTTGGTAAGGTCTGTGAAAAACAGGAAGCCCCCCTGAGATGGATTAGCACAGTGGCAACAGCAATGGGCTCAAGTGTAGCGATGACTATTGAGGTTGAGGACCAAGCAGTGTTTTGCTCTATTGTTTCAAACTAACAGCACCTAACGGCAACAACAGTAAGTTTCAAAGATGGAAAAGTTACACAGAGTGATGAGCAGAGGTCAGGCATGTAGTAACCATTCAGTAAATGTGAACATTCGCAAGTTTTTAGGTTGGTGGGATTTCAAATCTGTTCTTCTGAATGCTGTAGAGAGACTGGATTTGACAAAGGAAATTTCTAATGAAAAAGTTACAAAAGTGTGATTTTGAGAATTATAAACAGCACATTTTAATTGAATTTATAACATGCAACAGCTATAAAGGTAAACACATAACAAATACAAAGGCCTTGAAATAAATGAGGTTGTAGAGAACAAAAAATTCAAGAAAACTGAAGCCAAGTCCTTATCATTTGTGCACTCCTTCCAATGCCCATTTCCTTAAGAATACCACACATTTATACCATATTAGAAAGAAGTCATTTCTACTGTAGATTCTAAAATACATCGACAAAATTGCACTATTTTCCACTTCATTAAATAGAAAATATGTATTAATTCTTGATTTTTCATTTTCCATTTTACATACCTGAGGTTCTCCAGAGATGTCAATATAGTTAGTTCCATTTTCAATACAAGCTTTTACTACAGGTTCTCCATAAAATCGATACTAGGGGATAAAGAAAACCAAGTTACTCTTACTTAGCAAGTTTAATGAGTGAAATACTATTTAGTTTTAAAAACTGTCTTTATTAAAATAAATAGAATGTTAATAAAGTAATCTAAAAATAAACTGTGACAATAACATAACTTCCCAGTGTAAATAAGGTATGATAAAATCATAGAGGAATGTGTGCTTACCTCTAACTGACGAAGACAAGGAATGTTTTACAGAAGAGGCGACTCAATTGAGTTGAATCCTGAAGGAAGAGTATGAATTTCCCAAAATAAAAGAAAAAATCCATGTAACAGGAAAACTATATATGAAGGTGCAAGAAAAGGAAATAAAACAGTAAGTTCTTCTGGATACTCCAAGCACTGGGTGAAGAGAGAGCAGCAAGAGATGAATTTAAAAAGAAACAGTGGGACCGGTCCAGGAAAGTGCTGTGCTAATGAGTTTGGGTTTGATCCTTCTAGATTACTAGGCTCTCCTAGAGGATTTTAAACAGGATGATGGCGTAAGATTTAAAGTACAGACATATCACTCTACCTGTGGTATTGGAGAACAAAACTAGAGGCAGATAAGAAACCGTGAAAGACTTAACTAAGGAATTAAGAGGATACACATAGGGTAAGATATTCTGAAAAGATAAAAATGATTGGACTTCCTGAATAGCTGGACATGAGGTCAAGGTTGATGATACTATTTGCCAAAATAAAGAAAAACAGAGAGATGGTTTGAGGAAGATAAGCCTCATGATATTGGTTCTTTCAACTTATTTTTAGCTCAACTCCATGAATTAAAATAAAAACTTATTAGGTTAGGATTCAGTTCCCTCGATACATCAAAGGAAGGATAACAAATATTTTTTCTTTGTAAATTTAGGGTAAGGAGAAGAAACTCTCCATTTTCTCATTTCTGGTAGCAAAAGATGGAGGAGAGAGATCATTTTTTTCCTTCCAGCCTTCAAGAAACAAGATAAATGAACACTTAAAAGAAAAGACAAGACAATACAAGAACTGACTTTTAAGTAGGCCACATGGCTGTCCTAAGCATCAACTCCACAGCTTCACTTTCAGATTTCCACCATCCCTCTTCAAAATAGTAGCTAGAATTGGAATTTCCAGGCAAGGAGAAATAACAGATTCAGGTTTACAGTCTGAATCTATCATCTATAGTTATATTTACAAATTACATATATGAACTACTATACTAATGCGCATTTTAAGCAAATATAAAACAGAAAAAAAGTTGAGATTAAAATAAATACAAGTCAAAGCTCTATTTTCTTTCTAACTCCAATGGCTCATCTTGAACAATTCTTGAGGTATGTCCCATGAATAAACTAATTTAAGTTCTTCTTTGGCCATTTTCTTCGTTATTTTACTCCAAAGTTTCCCAAGTTCATTAGAAGTTCAGTCCAGAATCCCCTGGGCCACCTGTAGCTATGGTTTGAACTGTGCCCCCAGAAATGTCTATTATACACCCTATCCCCTATATCTCTGGAAGATGCCCTGGTGGGGTTCTCTCTTCTTGTTGTTGCTGTTGTTGTAAAGTACCATGGAGTCAGTTCCAACTAGATAGTTTCAAAGGTGCAGCTGGTGGGTTTGACCTTATGGTCAGCAGTCCAGTGCTTGTCCTACAATGCCATACTAGGAGTCACTATAAATCAGAATTGAGTCATGGCACAATACAACTATAGTACACTTGTGGATACAATCCCATTTGGGACTAGGATTTCCTTTGTGGTATTAAAGCAGAACAGAATGTGTTTTAAATTAAACCTTACCACTTTTGAGATATAAAAGATTATGCAAAAAAATGAAACAAGCACAAATAAAAGGAAAACTAGATGCCACGAGGTGATCTCCAAGGAACATGAAGAATACTATGGACACTGAAACAACGATTTTCCCCAGAGCTGACAGCCTTCCCTTAGAGCCACAATCCTGAATTCAGACTTCTAGTCTCCTAAACAGTGAGAAAATGTTTGTTTAAGCCACCTACTTAGTAACTTGTATGCTTAGCAAATGTCTTAGAGCTGCTGTAACAGAAATGGGTGGCTGCTGCCACAGTATCCACTTTAACCATCAGGGGTCCCTAATCATCTCCATGTGAGCAGTCCATCTCTCATCTAGTATTTTAAACTGATATAGAATTTGAGTTCACCACAGTAACAGAAGAACATATCTGGACATAAGAGGGCCCACACAGTTCAAACCTGTGTTGCTCAAGGGTCAACTGTAAATTCTATGCAGATTTTCGACTGCCTGAGATTCTCCTAACCTTCTCAGTTCAAGTGTCAAGTGTATTGTGATCTAATATGTACCAACTGGATAGTTTTACAGATATCAATTGGTTATAACTAATGGAACCCTCATAAAATAGGTAAGTCATTAAAAAATACCTGCAAAGAAACAAATGATGACCCCAAACTACAGAAGATGACACTTCCTCTACCCCAGGGATACGGAAACTTTTTTCTGCCAAGGGCCATCTGAAAATCTATAACATCATTAGTAGGCCGTACAAAAACTTTAATAAAATTTGCCTGCTCTATTTGGTCAAATATTTAAATTGACTTCACAAGCCACTGTTTTAAAAATACTAGTATCTACGAGAGTGCAAATAGGTATGAGTTTCTAAGGTATGAGCTCTGGAGCAATCTAGCATCTAGACAGGTGAGGATAAAAGGATCCAACAGAGTAGATGAGACAAAATTGTTAGGCAGAAAGTAAACTGGGGGAGGATAAGAATCCAGAAACTAAGAGAAGAAAAGAGAAAGGTCCTACCACAGGATCAAATGCTGAGAGATTAAAACAAGAATTGATGACTGGATTTAGAAGGATGGGGGACCTTGGAAGAATAGTGCCAGCAGTGCCCCCGACCGTGGAGTATGTCAAGATAAAAGCCTGGAGAGAGCAGTTTTAGCATAGGATGAGAAAAAGTAGACACAGTGAATAAATATAACTCTTTCAAAGAGTCTTGGTAAAGGTCACAAAATCTTAAGAGCAATAATTGGAGGAGCTCTGTGGAATCAAAGTACATTTTCATTTTAATACAGGGGATAGAATCACAGATTCATGTCAACAGAAATTAATCCAGCAAAGAGGGAAAATTTGATGAAAACTATTCAGGCAGACTACATCTAATAGAAGTACAGGCAGTTTTCCTTAAACTAGTAAAGCTGAGTATTGGGTCTAATGCAGGTTGGTAGGTAGGCAGATCTGGTATTAAAAAGATAAAGAAATCCTCTTCTGACAGCTTTGCTTTCATAGTGAAAAGCTAAAGTAGTAAAATCATAAAATAAAAATGAGCTAAAAAAAAAGTGAGCTAAAAGTTTGAGGAAAAAGTTTTGAAAGTTGCTTCAAAGTAGACTAAAATAGGAAAATAGCAAAAGTACTGAGTTAAGGCCTCATTCATGCTTTGTGACCACATATTTAAGCCCAGTCAGCATGACGACGCATTTTCCCAGCCACACTGAACTACTCATGAACAGGTAAAGAACACGCGTATAGTTACAATAACCACAGTTGAGGTTTTGCCAAAGTACTGAGAAAGGGAGAACAAGGGAGCTGACTGAGAATCTACTGTATTTTTAATCATGCATACATTATATTTCACACATTAGTTTCTCGTGCACACGATGCACATTTTATGTATGTGTGCATTATAGTCTTGTGCTCATTCCCGTGGGCATATTATATGCAAAAATGCAGTATATAACACTAACTATGGCAATGGATCACGTAATGTAAGCTAGTCAAAAATGAAATATATCTAAATAAACAATTGCTTTCCATTTTTAAAATTATTAGAATTCTCTGGATATGTTTTCAAATGCTCTGTCAATTGTGATGATTTACCCTCATGAGTAAATATCACAATTCATCCTATTGCACAGCCAAAAGTTTTAGAGTCATCCTTGATATCCGTTTCATACTCCATAGCACGTAACAACAACAACAATAAAAACTGCTGGTTCTCTTTCAAAATATAATCTGAACTCAATTGTTTCTCGCCACCTTTACTACTTGTCTTACAGGGAGTATTCACTATTGGCCCTTACTGTATATTTTTTCTCTCAGATGTCAAAGAACTCTTGCCCTTGCTCACAGCTATTCAAAGACTCTTTGTCCCCTGTTGAAGAAAATTCAAATCCTGACTTTGACCTATCAGGTCCAATCTAACTACCCATATCTTTCTGCTCTGTTCACATGCTCAGTCTCACTAGTCTCTCACGTTCCTGTCTCATTATATACATCTCATCACAGAAATCTGTACACTGGTTTTAGTGATTGGTGCATAAATTTGATTAATAGTGGTAATAACTGGTCTTTCTTACAGATGTATGGATATTATCCTATCACAGTTAGCACTATGCTTCAAGATAGAGCTTCAAGAAGAATGTGACTCCATTCCTCTTCATAATAAACCATGCGATTTTCATATTCAAAATGGCCAATACCAGTCCATTTCAGCTCACTAATACCTAAGATAAACCTATATGCGTTGTTTTTTTTGACAACATCCAATTTTCCTAGATTCATACTTCATACATTCCATGTTCCAATTATTAATAGATGTTTACAGCTTTTTCTCATTTTGATTTGTGTCCCATCAGCAAATAAAGGTCCTAAAAGCTTTACTCCATTCGCATCATCACGGTCAACATTACTTTGAAGAGGCAACTTTTCCTCAGTCGTATTTTGAGTGCCTTCCAACCTGAGGGACTTAGCTTCCAGCACTATATCTGACAACATTCTTGTGCTATTCGTCATGTTTCAATATTCAATATTGTGGTGTGACCCGACAGTGTTCCACTATTATTCATAAGGTTTTCAGTGGCTAGACATTCAGAATCAGTCCACCTCTCCTTCATCTTAGTCTTAGTCTGGAAGCTCAGCTGAAACCTGTCCACCATGGGTGTATCCTGCTGGAATTTAAAATACTGGTGGCATAGCTTTGGTATGGCATGCAACATCTTTTATCTTGTTGTTGTGAGTGCCATTGAGTTTCATGGGTTTCTCAGGAATAGCTGATGGGTTTGATCTGCTGACCTTCTGGTTAGCAGTTCACTGCTTATCCTACAGCGCCATACCAAGTTACCTTACAAGACATAAAAGGAAAGAGACTTGAGGAGAGAAGAAGGGACCTACCACTACCAAGATAGGAGAGCCATGAGTGGAGTATGTCCTTTGGACCCAGGGTGCCTGCACTGTGAGGTCCTAGATTCAGAGGCGGATTGATGCTAAGACACGTAGTGAACTCCAAGGAGTGTTGGGCCTACAAATGCTGAAAGGCGACAAGGACCTTTCTCCAGGGTCAGTACTCTGAATTTGGACTTTTAGCCTCCTAAACTGTGAAAGAATAATTTCTGACTGTTAAAGCCACCCATTTGTGATATTTGTTACAGCAGCACTAGATAACTAGGACAGCCCCTATGAAGAACTGACATTAATCACTTAGATCAAGGCGATGATGTGATTAACAGCAGCCCACTCTTGTAATCCTGGTGTGGTGCTGTAGGATAATAACTGAACTGCTAACTGTAAGTCTGGCTGTTCAAACCCACCAGAAGGCCCTTGGAAACCTTACACAGAGTCACTGTGAGTCAGAACCAGGTTGAAGGTACTTGACAACAACAAAAATCCCACTCCTAATCCTCTTATTGGTTTGTCACATCAAATCACACACGGGGGAGAGCTACATCTCAGCTATCAAACCACTGAGGATCCTGGCCCAGTCAAACTAACACAAAATCTTAACTACATCACAGTGGCCTTCTCAACAAATCATCTCTTCATGTCCTTACCTACCCTGCTTTATTTTCCTCCAAAGCACTTACTGAACTGTGTGCCTTCAAAATATGTGTCAGTTTGTCTGGACCATGCTTCTCAGTTACTTAGCAGTTATGTGATGACCTCCCAGGATATAATCTGATGTGATAAACCATTAAGAGGATTAACAGTGGGGCACACCACCCTCAATCCCACCAAGATCCTGATCTAAGGGAGATTCCCAAGGGTGTGGTATGCAAACACCTTTCATCTTATAAGAGGTAAAAGGAGAGAAAGAGGGACCCACTACAGCCAAGAAAGAAGAGCTAGAAATAAAGTGCGTCCTTTAGACCTGAGCTCCCTGCACTGTGAAGCTCCTAGATCCAGGGAATGGTTGATGTCAAGACACATGACAATCTCCTAGGAATGCTGGGCCCACACATACTGAAAGGACATAAGGACCTTTCTTTTACCAAAGCTAGTACTCTGAATTTGGAGCCCTGGTAGTGTAGTGGGTTACAAACTGGGCTGCAAACTAAAAAGGTCAGCACCGTCAATTTATCAGTCGCTCTGCAGAAGAGAGATGAGGATTTCTGCTCCCATAAAGATATACAGACTTGGAAACTATGTCATTGTTGCTGTGAAGTGCTGTCAAGTTGGTTCCAACTCACAGAGACCCTGTACAGAGTTCTGAGAAGGAGCCAGTGAGTTTGAACTGCCGATGCTGCAGTTCAAACCGACCTTGTGGTCTAGTGCTTATCCTACAGAGCCACACCGGGACTCCCAGAAACCCTATGTGTGGTCACTGTGAGTGGAAATTGATTTCATAGCACACAACCATCACTACCATGTTTAGCCTCCTAAACTGTTATGAGAATAAATTTGTTTTGTTAATACAACTTGTCGTATTTCTATTATAGAAGCACTAGATAACTAAGACACTACATAATACAATTTTCTGTCTTGTCTCCTCCTCTAAAATGTAAGCTCCAAGAGGGATTTTCTGTTTTACCATTATGAGCTAGGTGACTAGAATAGTGTCTTTTATATATTAGCAAGAATTCAATAAAAATTGATTAGTGCTTTTTCATTATTTTCACACATTTAGAAAATATGTACCTTTGCATAGTAATACAAAATATAACTTATAAATAAATAAATACATTGGTGATACATACCCAAATATTTTATATGAAATGGGCATATCATTTAAAATATTAACAACTAAAACATGGCAATCAAAACTTTAGCCAATGAACACACTAGCACATATTCCTTGACTACCACTTCCTCAGGTTTTGTCATATCCATTTCCTCGTCCTAATTACTGAAAACTTCCCATATGGAGTTAAGGCCATCAACCAATTCTTCTGTCCCCTGCTCTTAGACTCCTCTGGAATTTAAAATGCCAGATTGTTTGTTTCAGTACAAAGGAGAGTTGGTTACTTACTGGTCCTACACAATTGAGGACAACTGTTGCCTGTTTAGCCATTTCACCAAGTGAGGCTGGATTAGTGACATCACAAATTATTATTCCAACTTCAGACGGTAGTGTCGGTCTTCCTAAAATAAGACAGAAATTTTAAGTAAATCCTAGTACATTAGATTTGCCAGATATTTCTATAGTAATCAGTGACAACAAATTTACTAAATATACTAAAAACTAACTCTACCTCTCAAATAGAAGATAAAAGTGTTTTAAATGGGTTAAAAGGCTATAAAGAAAATAAATAATATGGTTACTAAAAAACACTAACTTTAAAAAAAATTATCTAACATAAGCATTGTGTGAATGGCAATACTGTGTAACACAACAATTTTACCATCAACTTTAGCTGAAGTAGATTTTTTTTGACTTTTGTGCCAAGAGATGTATATTATAAAAATAATTTCACATCAAGTACTAAACAATTGTACATGATTCAATTATAGGGGCTGTGACAGTGTTAATTAAGATCAACATCTGAATAATAGAAAGTAGTCTAGATAAGAACACCAGGCTCATAAGGGCTTAATTGGAATTAACTGAATCAACAGAGCAACACTGGTTTTAATGGGTCACGGTGCATTTCCCACACCTTGATCTAGATGTTACAAAAGATAGGTAATTAGGCTGTCAACTAGATAGTCTTGTTGAGCAGAAATGGAAAATGGAAGATTTTAACAGTGAAATTTTTTTTCAGAAAAGTGAGGACCCAAAGTGGAATGCAGGACCTTATCCAGAGAAGCAACAACACCAGAAATGGAGGCAGAGATGGAGACATGGAGAGAGGAAGCAACTGAAGACTCTAGATTCATGGGAAGAGAGGGACTGAGAGCTGGCGGCCAGGAGGCAGACTTGCAGAATGTGCCTTTGGTGGTATAAATTATCATTTATGCCTGAGTGTTTTGTTTTTGTTTTTTTTTTAAAAAAGAGCTTAAAGTAAATAGAGAAAAATACTGTTAACTGATGGTACAAGGAAGGGATTATAATCATTGTAATGAAACAAGGTGTATAATTTGTTGAATGTAAAATTGATGATCTACCCTGTAAACTTTCACTCAATTCACAATAAAAACGTCCAAAAAAAAAAAAAAATGTGGGTTAGTGAAGGAAAAACATAGTCACATAGTCAATGTTAGTGGAAGAACAAAACCTATACAATGAGAAAGAAAACACATTAGAAAAACACACACACAAAAATAACTCTGTGTATTGGTGGAGAAAGCAGAGATTATGGCCCTTGATCACCCTTCTAGTCTGAAACAGAACTCACCCTAGTGGCCCAATTTTCAGCCAAGCAGTAGGTAGGTACATGGGGGCACAACAACACTCATAAAGTATGCTCACCATGGAAAGGTCATTCAAGCTCAAAAGAGCAACATTTATCTAAGGAGAAAGTCGAAAATGGATGGGAAGGAGAATGGAATGGAAATTGGAACCACAGGTAGGAAGTGGGATATCTATTGTTGCATGCATGGCAGGGATGGCAATCATTGAGATGAAACAAAGTATATGATTTGTTGAATGGAGAACTGAGATCTTCTCTGTAAAGTTTCACTCAATCCACAATAGGAAGTTAATAAAAAATTCTTTGTGTTGGTAGTGGCAATAACAGTGGTGGGGGTCATGCCATCTTCTACAGAACCAACAACATGAATTCTATGTTCCCATCAAAAGCAGGGTTTTGTGTGAACTTCCAAGAAGGAAAAATACCCGGCACTCTACCAGCACTATCTGTACATGCGGCTGAAAAGATGGAGAATTAGGAGTCAAATGTAAAGGCTTTTATTAAATGCCATGGAGCTGTTCCAATTCAAAGCCACACTCCAGCATTCTGGATGCTGTGAAATCTTTGCAGGAGCAGAAAGCCTAATCTTTCTTCCACGAACAGCTGCTGGGCTCTAAACTCCGAACTTGTGGTTCTAAATCCAGCACTGATCATACAAAGTCAAGGCTCGTCCCAGTTTAAAGGGTATTAGCTGCAAGGTCGGCACCCACCAGTTGCTCCTCAGAAACCCTATACAGGGTCGCTATGGGCCAGAACAGACTCTATGGCACTTAGCAACAAGTCCTAAAGTGTATGCCTCCTCCCAGCAGAAAATAATCTACATGAGAGCATTGTGGGTCTCACATCTGTATTCCCAGGGCATGCCATAGAAAACGTCAACCAATACATATACGATGTTGGGTGGATCCTGAAAAAGTAAGTAAAAATCCAAACTAGAAATACATGTTTGTTTGTTTGTTTTTTTGAATAGGCTTAACTGTTGTTGTTAAGTGCCGTCAAGTCAATTCTGACTCATAGAGACCCTATATAGTTTCTGAGGAGCGACTGGTGAGCTTGAACCGCCAACCTTGCGATTCAAACTTACTTTGCAGTCCAGCGCATTAACCCCCCAGGACTCCAACAGGAATAATTGTTGATGTTGTTGTTATATGCTGTGGAGTCGGTTCCAACTCACTGCGACCTTGTACAGGGTTTCCGAGGCTTTAAATCTTTACGGGAGCATTACACCTCATATTTTTCCCGCGGAACAGCTGGTAGTTTCGAACTGCTGACCGTAAGATTAGCAGCCCGATTCGTAACCACTACGCTAATGCTGGAGAACACTTACAAGAAAAAATTAAAACACCTGATGCGGCGCTGTAGGCTCAACACTGGACTGCGAACCACAAGGTCTGCAGTTCAAACACAACAGCTAGCTGCTCCTTGAAGACCCTTTACAGGGTCTCTGTGAGTGGAATCAACTCAAAGGCACTTAACAACATCCAACAACGTTCTCAGTTAAACTCTTAAGCAAGTTTTCACAATCACCCTTGCTTTGTCAACCCTCAAATGCAAGACAAAGGGTGAGTACAGATTGTCTTCAATAAATCAATGTCAGTTTTCCAATCCGACGAAATGCCAAGAAACCGCCACACCCCGAGGTGTCTGGCTCGAGAAAGTAAAGGCTAAAGTTCTCGACTGTTTCTCTAAAGGAAAAAATCAAAATTGAGGAAAAGAAATGGTGTGGGGGTGCGGATTTAGGAATGGGATCGACATGACAATATTTGAAGCATCTCCTTTTCCTTTCCTCAAATAGGTTTTGGGGGGGGGGGAGATCTAGGACATATGCGTAAAGGAGAAGCGCTCATTTTCGGCAATTTTAACTCAGTTGGGGTAAAGGGCTCCGGGAAGAGAGTGGCAGATGCTGCCTCAAAGCTCCGCCCACCCTGCCCCCTCTTACCCATCTTCAGGGCAGCCCTCTCCAGGACTCGCTGCAGCTTCTCCCGGGAACGGCCCGCCACGGCCCAGGGTAAGCGGGATTTCCGTTCCGGGTCCACCTGCTCCCGGGCTACCTCTTCGGCCACAAACTGGCCGGTGAAGCCTGAGGCGCCCAACACCACCAGGTGGTAAGGCCTCGGCTCGGTCGCCATGTCTAGTAGACTGCGAGCCGAGGCACGGGGCTGGCAGATTCCTCGGCGCCTGCGCCTCAGACAGCTACCCCAGTACCGAGCGCAGCAACCGCCTTCGCCGTTTGCGCGCCGCGATCCCGGCGTCCCTAGCGCCCTAGGACGCAAGGGCCACGCCCACGCGGCCTCCTGGCGGGGCTGCCCCTGGTGTCTCAGTAAAGTGTTCTTCTTTTCAGGCGGCGTAGTCTCAGGAGGAAGGTTAATATCCTGGGCTCGCCAGAGCAGACGTCTCCCCATGGCTTGGTTCTGTCGTTTGTCCAGCACTGCTCTGACCGCCCGAGGCGTCGCATCTCTTTCTCTGGGAGGCTGAAGGCGATGACTACAGCCGGTTGTTCTTGTTCCACAGGGAGTTGAGTAGCAAAAGAATAAAAAAAACTTCTTACAGGAGGGGTCTGCCCACGCCAAGAATTATTTTGCCCTTGAGGCATGTTGACTGAGGGATCTCTGCGAAACCCTAGTACAAGTGGAGGGGGGTGAACGTGGATGCTGAGATCTCTACATATCACCCCATTCTTCCCCAGAACCTAACTCTGCCTTGAACCCCTATGATGATGCCCCTCTCATCTCAGGGCTCACCCACCCTCCCCGCCACCACGTACCTCATTTCGTGGCCTGTGTGAGAAAATAACTCAGAGGGCCGCCCTGCCACTTTACCTATGCGACAGACCCTTCAGAGGTTTTTTTGTTTGTTTTTTAAGTTCTTGAGTAGTTTAATGTATATATTCAAAAGTAGTTTAATGTATATATTCGATAGAGGATGCTGTGGTATGCCGTGGAGTCCATTCCAACTCATCACCACCCTGGTAAAGAGTTTCAGAAGCTACAACTTTGGGTGCAGACAGACTCGTCTTTCTCCCGCTAAGCATCTGGTAGATTCCAGCTGCTAGCCTTGCAGTTAGCAGCCCAACACACTGCCCACTTTGCTAACAGGGCGCCTACATAGAGAATTTCTTGTCCATAGCTTGTCATGATCCACATAATTGAAAGCCTTTGCGTAGTCAATAAAACACAGGTAAACATCTTTCTGATGTTCTCTGCTTTCAGCCAAGATCCATCCGACATCAGCAATGGTATCCCTCATTCCACATCCTCTTCTGAATCTGACTTGAACCTCCGGAAGCTCTCTGTCAATGTAAACTTGCAGCTGTTTCTGTATTACCTTGTAAAACTTTACTCGCATGGGATATCAAAGATATTGTCCGATGATTTCCGCATTCCATTGGGTCACCTCTCTTTGAAATAATTTGCCCAGAAATCCTTCAATAACGAAAGTCAAGGCTTCAATATTTCTTCAGTTCCCCCAGCTTGAGAAATGCTGAGCGTATTCTTCCTTTTTGATTTTCTGACTCCAGATCTTTGCTCATTTCGTTGTACTATTTGACTTTGTCTTCTAGAGCTGAAGTTTAAATTTTTCTGTTCAGCTCTTGTACCTCCTCATTTCTTCCATTTGCTTTAGCATCTCTACGCTGGAGAGCAAGTTACTTTTTGCTTTCTTCTTGCATTATGTTCTTGATGTCATCTTACAACTCTTCTGGTCTCCAGTCTTTAGTGTTTAATGTATCAAATATGTTCTTCAGATGATCTCTAAATTCAGGTGGGATATTTTCAAGGCCATATTTTGGCTCTCATGTACTTGTTTTTTATTTTCTTCAGCTTCATTCTGAATTTACATATGAGCAATTGATGGTCTCCACAATCTGCCCTGACCTTGTTTTGGCTGATGATATGGAGCTTTTCCACCATGTCTTTCCACAGATGTAGTCAATTTAATTTCTGTATATTCCATCTGGTGAGGTCCATGTGTATAAATCGTCTTTTATGCTGTCTAAAGAAGGTATTTGCAATGAACAAATCATTGATTTTGCAGAGTTCTATCATGCGTTCTCCAGCATCATTTCTATCACCAAAGCTATATTTTCCAACTATTGATCCTTCCTCTTTGTTCCCAACCATTGCATTCTAATTACCAGTAATGATCAATACATCTTGATTGCATGTTTGATCAATTTCAGATTGAAGAAGTTGGTAGAATTCTTCTATTTCATCCTCACTGGCTTTAGTGGTTGGTGCATACATTTGAATAATAGTGGTATTATTAACTGGTCTTCCCTGTAGGCACATGGATATTTCCTATCAAAAACAGCACTGTACCTCATGACTGATCTGGATATGTTCTTTTGACAATGAATGCAACACCATTCCTCTTCAATTTGTCATTCCCGGCATAGTAAACCATGTGGTTGTCAGATTCAAAATGGCCAATACCAGTCCATTTCAGCTCACTAATGCCTAAGATATCGAAGTTTATGTGTTCCATTTCTTTTTTGATGATTTCTAATTTTCCTAGATTCATACTTCGTAAATTCGATGTTCCGATTATTAATGAATGTTTACAGCTGTTTCTCTTCATTTTGAGTTGTGACCCATCAGCAAATGAAGGTCCCGTGGGATTTTCTCCCCCAGGCTTTACTCCATTCACATTACCATGGTCAACCCTACTTTGAGGAGGCAGCTCTTCCCCAGTCGCATTTTGAGTGCCTTCCAACCTGAGGGGCTCATTTTCTGGCACTATGTCTGGCACTGTTTCTCTGCGACTAAATATTTGGGAGTAGTTCATCACTCCTTCTTACTAGTCTGTCTTCATCTGGAAGCTCATCTGAAACTTGTCCAGCATGGGTGACCCTGCTGGTATTTAAGATGCCTGTGGCATAGCTTCCAGAAACAGCAACTCACAAGCCACTACAGTACAATCAACTGACAGATGTATGAGACTCATGCAAATATATCATTTTATTTAATCTTTGTGTGCAGCAAGTATTCCACTCAGCCAAACCCCAGAATAGGTCCTGATAATACAGTGGTTAATTAGATAAGGTCCTTGCCCTTGGTACAATGATGAATAAGACAAGGCCCTTACCCTTTTATGTTGTTGTTGTTGTTAAGTGCCATTGAGTCGGGTCCGACCCATAGCGACCCTGTACAGGGTTTCCAAGGGTGTAAATCTTTACGGGAGTAGAAAGCCTCATCTTTCTCTTACCCTTTTAAGTGGGGACTAAATCGCTTAATTACAGAACATGTGTCAAATGAGACAAACTGCACTCCGGGACAATGGAAACAAGAAGAGGTTTTGCTCAACACAATGAAAGGGATCCCAGAGTTGTGGTAATGGGTAAAATTTTAACCTCAAAAAGAACTAGGATATCACCGAAGGGATGGTCTTTGAGTGGAACTGGGCCTTGACTTAAATTCATAGGGCTCAGATAAAGAAGGATTGAGAAAAGGGCAAGTATTTATTTATTTATTTATTGGGTGTGGCATATGTTCCAGATACAGAAACCAGGGCTAGATTTTGAAACAAAGTATCTTAATGCTATTGATAGCTGCTACTGAGTCAATTCTGTCTGGCAGCAAACCCATGTGTGCAGAGTAAAACTGCTTACTAGGATCTTTATGGCTGTGACTTTTCAGAAGTAGATTGTCAGACCTGTCTTCCAAAGCAGCTTTGGGTGAGTGTGAACCACCAACCTTCCCACTAGTAGCTGAGCATCCAAGAGCTCCTTAATAGACCTCAGAGAGGCTTTTGATAAAATTAAAAATTGATTGATGATTTTAAATTTTTTCATTAAAATGGGAAATATGGATCTTCCTTTTAAAAAGCCTGAAATACACTAGTCACATTAGAAAGGTAAAGTCTGTATCAAATATTATGCTACATCTCACAACTTAGAAAAATATTCCAGATAACAATGGAAATAAATGGCACCAAACCATCTCTCACCACAGTAGTCTCTACTCAGCTGGGTTTGATAATCTGTTGCCATGGCCGTACAGAACTCAACATACAATTATGAGGTTTATTGGGGAAGTTACTATACAGAATCAGAAATTGTTAAGGGCACAGTTATTCCAGTCAGCTGCTGATAAATGCCCACAGGACACACCACTCCACCAGAAGGCTCAGCCTGAAGGCATTCAGCTCTAACTCCATGGATCAGCAAGTCTAGCTTCCCCCAGTAAGTGTCAGCAGGCACTCCACTCTACAAGCAAGCTCCCTGCCCAAACTCACTCAGCTTTCCTTGCTTCATGAGCTGGGAAGCCCACTGCTCTGTCTCATGCTCTGAGTTTTGGTTCTTCTGCTGCTACTACTCTGCAGATCCTCCCATATCAGACCTCTCTGTCCCTGAATTAAGGATACTTCTGTGATACTAGTAAAATTCCCCCCTCCTGCTTCGAAATAACCCACATTAGAGTTCTAAGTTTTCACAATTACAGTTAACTCTGTTAACATCCACAGCTGAATTGTGTCATCTTATAAGGATCTTCTGCCACCTACTTCTTACCCAAACCTATCTATCTGTAAAAGAGTTGTTTGGTGGGAGTCACAAAGACGAGGCTAGAAGAGACATTAAATAATTTACTACATGACAGTGAGGATTCCCGGTACCCATCCCTGAATGTATTTATTTCCTTATTCCTACAGTTGACCACTTGCCTGAGTTAGATATTTTTCTTTCCTGTTCCTGTCTTCATATTTTTGCCATATATGGTTGTATTTCTAAGCACTCTATAGTATTGTTCTATATATTTTTAGCTTTTTATAAATGCTCATTCTTCTACCACTTTCTTATTTTGGGTCATCAACATTTGTGGAATTTATTCATATTAGTGGAGTCCTGGTGGGTCACTATAGGATAAGCACAGGACTGTCTATCATAGAATGGTGATTCAAACCCACCAGCCGCTCCTTGGGAACCCCATATATGGTCCCTATAAGTTGACAGCACTTAACAACATTAATGTTAACATATACAGTTTTAGTTCATTCCAATGCATAGTCATTTCAGTTGTTTTTTTATCACAAGCAATGCTATAATGAAATTCTTGAACATGTGTCCTTGAGCACATGTGCAAGAATGTCTTTAATATATATCTAGAAGGAAAAATAGTCTTAAAATATGCACCTTTTAAATTGTTCTCTAAATCAAAACTTATACTCTTATCAGAATGAATTGAGAAGTCTCTGTTGCTTCACATCATTGTCAAGACTTGATATTGTCAGACTTTTTATCTGATGTGTATAAAATGGTAGGTGTTCAAATATTTACTAAATACTTACTAGAGGAGGCTTTCTACTCCCGTAAAGA